GGCCTCAGAGACCGGCTGCGCCCGGGTGCCGGGTGTGTCCTCCGCGTTGGGACCGCCACTGGGGTCGGGCTTTCTGTTGTGCGGCGGCGAGGCTGTGGGAGAGAAGGGGAGAGGCGGGGAGGCCGTCGGGGGAGGAGAAGCCGTGACGGGGAGGCTGGGGAGGCCAGAAGGGAAAGGAGAGGAAGGGAGGCCAGGAGGGGAGGAGGCTGGGGAGGCCGTGGAGGAGGAGGAGAGGCAGAAGAAAGGGCCTGGGAGGAGAGACGGGACAAGGGAGACTTGGCAAGCACCTGCAAGGGGCGAGATGGGGTGGCCAGGAGACCTGGACGGGAAGGAAAGGGGAGCAGCCTCCCTCAGCCTCGCGCCCGAGGCCCCAAAGGAAGAAAGGGACCAACCGAGAAAATTTTGCTCCCCTCATGTGGAATCAGAGGCCTGGTGGCAACATTTTATTTTGTTCAGGAATCTTTTCAAATCTATAGCTTTTAAAACGACAACCCCCAGTTTATTCTAAGACTAAACATTTCTGACATTAGTTAAATAACAAACTTTTTGTCCTTCCTTTAACATATATATCTATGTCTGTATAAACATCCGCCTTTTTGCTATTTACAGTTTGTTGAGAAAGTACCGAGAGCAAACCCCAGGGGGAAAGGTCTCCTATTACAGGTTCTCCTAATTGTTTAAGCGCCCCTGACAACAGAACTATTTGGTTTTCCCATCCGTGTTTACACTGTCATCTTGGTCTCTGTAGAACCTAGTATTTGTGAGTGGATTTTTTATCTGGCTTCTTGGCCACCACTTACTGGTAAATCACAGCTAGGAAAGGTTTTTAAAGCTTGGCTGGGAGGCACAGGCCGCTGGTTAACTATAAAAGCACACATCGCTTACATTTTTTCCCCCATTAGATGGTGGAGAGAAAAAAACTCCTAAGTGGCATGACATGAAAACAAATTTTGAAATTACTAATGATTTCCCCAGCTTTGCAGACAGGTTGGTGAGCAAACTTCAGCCAGCTTGGAAGCTGGGCAACTTTCCATGCCCAGTTACACAATATCACCTCCCCGCCTGCCTAGGTCCCAGTGCCCTCCGAACAGGCGCAAGAGCTCAAAAACTTGTCTTTATTTTTCCCTCCCCTTGCATTAAAGCAGCTCTGGCAACACTTCATTTAAAGTGACTTATCTTGCCAAATCGATAATCTCCTTTAAAATCAGCTTTCCCCCAGCAATGATAGCTGGTTAGAGTTCATGTTTTTGCAAAGAGGTTGATTCTGACTCATTATGCTAAGCGGTTGTGCCATACACAGCTGAATAAAGTTCTGGTGGACATCCAATTCCTGGCTGTCAACTGTTGACCTCACAACTGCTTCCCCATTGATATCACCATCTGTTGTCATGGGAAAGATTGTCTGATATTTGGATTAAATGCCACTGAAGTCATTCAATTTCCATGTGGAAAAATAACCCAAAGTAAATTGCCCTGTGAGGTGCGGAAGCTATTTTTCCCAGAGATAGTGAAGCGAACAGAACAGCCACATAAAAGCAAAACAAAAACACCATCCCCCAGAGGACCCCTTATTTCTCCATTGCCTCCATAACCTCATTTCATTCCATGCATGAAGAGTGTGTGTGTGTGTTAAAGACAGACCCTGGCTCAGGTGTCCCCAGGCCGTTCGCTGGAGCTGCCCACTTGGGCTGTCCTCCCCCAGCCCTGCCCGGCGCCCCCGCGCAGCCCCGGAGCGGGGCGGACCCCGCGGCGTCCCGCGAACCCGGCCCCGGGCACGGCTCCCGAAAGGCGCGCCACGACCCCTTTTGACACTTTCCCTCCTCTGTGATGGAGCAACTACTTAACATGCAAAGTTTTCTCCAGCCTGCCCGGCTCGCTCGGGATCATTTCAGTAGCTGAACTGGCGTCTTTCCGAAAAGGCTGCCAAGAGACGCAAAATCTTGGGGACACGGTTTGCTCCTTTCTAACAAGAACACAGAGCCGGAGTGTCCTCTCTTTGCAAACTCTGACCCCTTCCTCGTCCCGCCCTTCATCGCGCCCTCTCCCCAGGTCCCCCCCAGATCCCAGCTCCTCTGCCGGGGCTCTGCATTTCACCGATCTTACCTTTTCTGTCCGCCACTGGGGCTTCGGGGGACGAGCCCACGATCAAACAGAGAAGCCAGAAAGCTCTAGCTGTCATTTTTGTAGACAGGGTTCCCAGGCTCTAAAACTGAGCCTGGGCTTTTGCTCGCTTTCTCTCCCCCCACCCCTTCTCCACACCCCCACCCCCGTTCATGCTAATGAGGGGCAGCCTTTGGGGAAACGGGAATCACTCACTGAACAGACCATTGGGACAAAACCGAGCTGCAGGGATTTCTCCCTCTTCCTAAGGGGCACGAGCACGTGGCCTCTCAAAGTTGTCCCCGGGAATGTCTGTCCTGTGATCTGCGGGCAAGGATAACATCACAGCCTAAACTTTAAACCTGTGTGCCTTTGCAGGCTGGGGCGGGGGGAGCACAGGGTGGGGTAACAAGTGGAGGGAATAAGGGTGTTGAGGGGCTGAGGGACAGGGTGGGGTGAAGGAGGGATGGGAACTTTTTTTCGAGATTAAGTCAACAGCAAATAGGAAAATTAGTGCTTAAGACAGCTTGGGCTTGTGGAAGGGAGGAGATTCCAGATGACAGAAAATGCGTCCCAGAATGTGTCAGGCAGTTCCTAGAGAAACCAAGTCACTACCTCCTAGGTTTGGTAAATGTGTTTCACTATATATACAACATTTATATTCTAGAACCGGAAGGGAAAAAGGCCTTCCACAAAATAGTTTTTCTTCTCCCTTCCTTTCTCTCTCACTCTCCCGGCCCCACTTTTTTTGTATGTCTCTTAATTGGAACTGGCATTCAGTTGACCAGATTCTTTAAGTCCATACTGAGCACCTTTTACCTGCTAGGTGCTAGGAGACAGAGATGAGTAAAACACCGTCCCAACTCTCTAGTGATGGCTCATCTCTTCGAGAAAGGTAGAACTTTTTTTTTTCTTTCTAAGAAAAATAAACTCATTCACTACTGAGGTCTGAATCCTTGGGACAGCACTGTATATGGGTCCTGAGCTGAGGATCCTTCCCCCTAGGATTGAACAGAAGCAGCATTCACCAAAGGGGGAAATAAGTTTACCACAGTAAACCCACAACCTTAATAAGATATGTCTCGTTTCAACAGCCTCAGACCCAAGAGGAAGGGGAAGTGGATTGAAATGAAGGAGTTTCATCTGCAGCATACCAGCCAACAGACTGATGCAGCTGCTAAAAGAAATAAACTTTTGCTGCACTCATAACTTACGTCTCAAAAATAATAGTGGTAGTGGAATGACCAGATCTGGGGGCAGGGTCGTGTTTTCACAGAATGCACTGGACAGCTAGGAGGAGATCAGTAGGGTGGGAGCCAGGCTGGACTCCACTCTGTTCATGTTCTTCTGGAGAAAATGAGGACAGGTAGCCTAAGCGCACAAAAACATCTCTTATATATTGTGAAAGTACCCGTAGGTAGGAGCTGTGAAGTGAGCAGTTTAATTTCAACTTAAGAAAGAATATTCTTACGAACAAGATCTCCAAGAAAACAGACGACTTTGAGGGATTGTGGCAATGACGTCCACTGGGGACATCCAAAGAGGAGAACATTAGTGACACTGTAGAGCAGGTTCCTACATTGGGTGTGTTGTGGATTGAGGGATACAGCGAGGTAAATATGTTCATCTCAACAGAGGCTGCTGGCTCTGGCAATATGTTGGAGGGTGACACCTTGTCCTGCAGTCTGGTCCTCAACTTTCCGTAGCCCAAATCTCAATTTTGTCAATGAATCAGATTCATGGGACCAAACTCATTTAAAACAAACAAAAAAAAACAGCTGCAGAAACCAGTATATCTTTTTTTTTTTTTTTTAACAGAGTCTCACTCTGTTGCCCTGGGTAGAGTACAGTGGTGTATTCATAGATCCTAGTTCACTGCAACCTCAAACTCCTAGGCTTAAGCAATCCTCCTGCCTCAGCCTCCCAAGTAGCGGGGACTATAGGCACATGTCACCATGCCCAGCTAATTTTTCTATTTTTTGTAGCGATGGGGTCTCGCTCTTGCTCAGGCTGGTCTTGAACTCCTGAGGTCAGGCAATCCTCCCACCTCGGCTTCCCAAGGTGCTAGGATTATAGGCATGAGCCACCGAGCCCAGCCCAGAATATCACTTCTTAATTTGCAATGGAAGGATACAGTAAAGGTGATTCAGAGGACTAATTATTAATTAGGAGGTTGTCTGTACATCAAATTGCAGCTGAAAGAGTGGGCTAATCTCTCATTTGGCTATTAGAGGAGCAAATTCTCTATTTCCTCCAAAAGAATAAACCTCTCCAGTCACTGCAGGGCTTTTGTGCACCAGACTCCAGACTCTAGACAGAACCAGATAGACACTGTTAAATCCATGTCCTTGTTTATATGACAGATGTCCTCAGATACCCTTCTTTCACGTGCTTTAAGTCAAGTGGAATAAAATTAATTAGACTTAAGCTTTCTCAGTTACAACCACCTCTCAGACATACCTTCTTAAGATTACATTCAGGTCACCCAGATCCAATTTGGGGTGTTCCCGAAACTCTTCTGTTGCAAGAATGTTGTGAATGCCCTGAAACCCACACCCTGAAATGTAGAGGCAGGGA